AGACGTCACGTGAGCCACACATGCTATTTACGTCGAAGTTAGCTGCCGACATTAACGGCAGAACATAAAGTGATCACAAGTGGCAAGTTTGAGGACATATTTCGTGGATTAAAATGTTTAAGGACATAAATCATTTTAGTGGTAAAGTTTAGGGACATAAATTATAATTTTCCCGGTAGAGAGTGAATTATTGAAAACGGTTCCCGTAAAAATGATACCAATTTTATCACCTTCCTATTTGTTAACTGATCTGCCAACATCAACATTCGAACCCTTCCATATGTTCAAATTCTTGGACAAACAAATTAATTTGTCAACCGGCAATTCTTAGAGATGGCATTGGCAACGGGTTGATTATGAGGCGGGTTTACCTAAACCCGAGAACTGACTCGCGAAAAATAAATGAAATCCAGGCCTGTCCCAACCGGTTTTAGCTTAGACCCGTCCCAATCCATATCCGAATTAAACAGTTCTAACCCGCTAGATCTATTAACATAATTTTTTTTTTTAATATTTTTAACTTTCATAATATTTTGCTTATATATTTTAGGGTAAATTATAACCACTCCTGAGGTGTAAGAAAATTCATAGTTGAGGGGTAGATGTAATTATCCAAACAAGATGAGATTTTTCGTAATTTAACCATACATCAGGGGTGATTGTAATTTTCTCTATATTTTAACAAATAAATCTCAAAATTAAAATACAATATTTTAAAAAACTTGTACAAGTACTATAAAGTGACTATTAAATTTATATAATTAATTATATTTAACTTCTACAATAAAAAAATTTCAAAAGGCAAGACGGCTAGCAGTGGTCAACAAGTTTGATAGATATTACTTACGAGAAACAAGATTCAAAAACGTGAAATGGTGAAAATTTGACAAATGAGAATAAACTCGATGAAATTTAGAAGTTTGATGAATGAAATGCTAAATTAATTTTAATATAGATTAACTATTAAATATAATATATTATACGGGTTGGTTCTGGGTCGGTTCCAATAAGACCCGTAACCCGATCCAGAACCATCCGGTCCATTAAGCTTAAATTCATTATCCGAGCCAAAACCATTTAACTTACCCAAACTCATCCCAAACGGGTTGGTTTCGGGTCTAAAACCCGGCAAACTCTTGCTCATTGCCATCTCTAACAATTCTCATGTGATTGTGCCTTCTGCTAGGTATTACTGAACTGTAAATAGTGGCAGTTCTGGGAAATAAAGAAACACTAAAGGGCAAATATGTCCATCAACGTTCCAAAATCAAAACCTCGACCAGGGTTTTAACCTTCCATTGTTGAATCTGTCATTAATCCAGAGGTTATCCATTTTCGTGCATTTTTTGCTTTTTTGTTTTGCATTTGGGATAGTAATAAGGAGTTTTTAGCAAGTGCTACCCATGTGATAAGTCTAATTGTCGGAAAAACCCTTATGTAAAAACAATTAGCGTTTGCCCCCCTATGTTAACAAGTCAAAGACACATGCCCCCTTATCAGCAAATCGTGCATTGCACGCGCAGTTTGTGCGGTTTGTGTTTGTTTTTATGATATGAAAAGTCTTAAATGCCCCTTGAAATACTTTTTTTTAATAAATAAAAATCCAAATTGAACTTAAATATAAATAATCCAAATTTTTGGATCCAATTGCAAATTTTAAAAAAATCTTCAAAATCCTATTCTACTTCTTCTCAAAGCCTGACCAACTGCAACAGTGATGCCGCCCCCTTTCTTCCATCACCGTCTCCATCTCCCCAGGCGGCAAGACCACCAGATGAGTCTCATCTCCGCCGGCCAGCAGATACGGTGTCATCTCCTCTTTCTTTTTCTCCGTTCCTCTTTCTTTTTTTCCTCTTAGAATTGATGAAATGAAAATAGAGGGTAAATAATTGAATTATTTTAAGATTAATGGTTGGCATGGGGCAATGGTGGAGATAGCAGTATATATATATATATATATATATATATATATATATATATATATATATATATATATATCGGTGGTGATTGAAGAGATCAAATCAATGGCGGAGACTCTCGTTTTTCTTTTTCAAGAAACACCGTGTAAGTTGCAGGTTGGTGTTGTGGTTTGAAACTTGGGGATTTCATCGGGGCTGAGGACTATGTTCTTGAAGTGAAATGAGCTGGTGGGCGTCTCCAATTTGCAGCGGCAATAGCGGAGGTTGTGGTGACAGATGAAGAAGATGATGACGTGTTTTTAAGTATTTTTTTATTTCTAATGAAGGGTAATTTAGTCATTTGATCTAAGTAAACGGGATTATTTTAAATAGGGAGCGGTGGGCTACATAAAACCAATCATAGGAGTCAATGCTAATTGTTTTAACATAGAGACTTTTCTGGTAATTAGACATTTCAAATGGGGGTTTGTGCAATTAACTCTAGTAATAAGCTGCATGTGTGTGTGTGAGAGAGAGAGAGAGAGATGCAATCGCTTTACCGAAAACTCGGGCTGGTTACGAAGCAAACATTCAACAATCTGAAGAATATTGAGTCGAAATCAATCACCTCTTTCGATTCAAAACTCTTGGGATGCTCGATTCAGCCGTCTGGGTTCAACAATTCTTTGCATTCTAGTTTTGGATCACGATTATTTCTGGTATACATTTTATTTTAGGGCAAATGGCAAAAAGCACACATGACAAGGGAATTAAATGCACATTGGTCCCAAAAAAAAAACAGTCTTTCAAATAAATTCATTCGCATGTCTTTAGTCTAAAATACCCTCCATAATAAAAAAATTTATCAATTTCATCCATTATACTATAACTTCCTTAATATTACACATTAACCCCGGATTTAAACAAATATATCACATTAACCCTATTTTAATAATTTTTGCAAAAAATATTTTTCTTTTCAGGAAATAATTTTTTTTCTGAATTTTTTTTTCCGGCCAGATTCCGCCGTTGTTCGGACGGTTCTCCAGCCTTGACTTTTTTTTTCTGAAATTTTTTTCCGGGCGCTCAACCGCCGGTCTCCCGCATTGACTTTTTTTTTTATTTTTTTTTTCTTATTAAAAAATATTTTAATTAATATTACTGTCTTGGCTGCTAAATTACTGTCTCAGACACTAATATTACTGTTTGGGACAGTAATATTATGAATATTATTTCCCGAACAGTAATATTACTAATATTACTGTCCCAAACAGTAATATTATTACATGAAACAATAAAATTATGGTCGGAGACCGTAATAGTTACAGTCGAAAACAGCAAAAATGCAGGCCAATGCTATAAAATTAATTCATACAGTAATAAGACTGTCTCAAACAGTTAAATTACTGTTTGAGACAGTAATTTAGCCGTGAAGACAGTAATGTTAATTAAAATAATTTTTTTTACGAAAAAACAAAATTTCAAAAGAAAAACAAGTCAATTAACGGTTAAGTTACTGTCTTCGACAGTTAAATAACTGCTGGAGACAGTAATTTAGCAGCCAAAACAGTAATATTAATTAAAAAAAATTAAGAAAAAAAGTCAATTAACAGTTAAATTACTGTCTCCGACTGTTAAATAGGAGACATTAATTTATCAGCCAAGACAATAATATTAATTAAAATATTTTTTTAAGAAAAAAAAAGGTCAATTAACAGTTAAATTACTGTTTTCCATAGTTAAATAACTGCCGGAGACAGTAATTTAGCAGTGAAGACAGTAATGTTAATTAAAATAATTTTTTTTACGAAAAAACAAAATTTCAAAAGAAAAAAAAGTCAATTAACAGTTAAGTTACTGCCTCCGACAGTTAAATAACTGCTGGAGAAAGTAATTTAGCAGCCAAAATAGTAATATTAATTAAAAAAAATTAAGAAAAAAAGTCAGTTAACAGTTAAATTACTGTCTCCGACTGTTAAATAGGAGACAGTAATTTAGCAACCAAGACAATAATATTAATTAAAATACTTTTTTTAAGAAAAAAAAGGTCAATTAACAGTTAAATTACTGTTTTCGATAGTTAAATAACTGCCGGAGACAGTAATTTAGCAGCCAAGATAGTAGTATTAATTAAAATATTTTATTAAGAAAAAAAAGTCAATTAACAGGTAAATAATAACTGCTGGAGACAGTAATTTATCTGCCAAGACAGTAATATTAAGTAAAATATTTTTTTTAAGAAAAAACAAAATAAAAAAAATAATCAAAAAAAAAAAGTCAACGTCGGAAACCCAGCGGTCAACGGTGGTTGACCTACCGGAAAAAAAAATCAGAAAAAAAAAAATTCAACGCCGGAGACCGGCGGTCTTCGTTGGTGGCGGGTCAAAATTGGGGTCGAAATTAAAATTATGGTCAAAATTAGTTAATTGGTGAAATTGGGCTAAATTGGTGTGTAAATCATGAAATTGAAGTTGAATTGGGTTTCAATGAATGGGGGGTAATTTTAGTATATATAAAAGGGTTTTCCTTATTTGCAAATAAGAATGAATGAGCTGAAAATATTTGAAAGACAAAAATGTGGTCTTTTTTTTAATTAAGTGCCCTTGTCATGGGCCTTTTTGAGATTAACCCTTAATTTTATTTTATTGTGGCCGATCATTTAGTTTAGAAGTTTACATTTTATGTTGATTTTCGTTAGCTTGTTCCAGTTCTAAGCTTGTTATGAGTTTCGAAATGATCGTGATTTTCCACTTATATATTGTATTAATTAGTTTCTTTTCTTTGATGATCCTCGTATAATCGAATTCTAGCTTGAGTAAACATGAGACAAGTTACTTAAATACAAATCGGTTTAACTCTCGGTCTTGGTTCTGTTTCTTTACTTATACGACCAATCTTCGATGAACTTTTTACCAATGAATATGGAGAAACAGTGTCGATTGGCTACGTAGGCGTAATCGATGTTGTGAACTTATTTATTTATTTATTTATTTATTTTTTGGTTTTTTTTTTTTTGTTTTGGTTTGATTATCATTAAATCAAAATTCTCGTGCTCAAAACAGAAATTTCGGCACTGCAATTGCCCCACCAACGTCTTCTGAAATGACTTGGCGCATAAAATTCAAGAGGCTCGACAAAACAGCAAGGCACATAATGCATGCACAAATATTTATTTTCACTTCATTTATTTTCTTTCATCATATATTAGGGTATTTTTTTAATTGCTTGTTTAAGTGTTTGATTCATAGAAATGCAAATTGCAGATCGATAAAAAATCGGTTGAGGAAGTGAAAGCAACCAGAGAGATCCCCGAAATAAAGCCCGGTTACATTGTTCAGCTACGAGTGGTACTAATTTTTCTAATTAACTAATTTATTTTCCACTGCATGATCATCATTAAATAAATAAAAGTAAAAAACTTTTTAAGGTTTCGTGATCTTGTTTGTGACAGGAAGTACCGGAGAACACGAGACGCGTGACAACTGTAAAAGGGATAGTTATAGCAAAACGAAATGCCGGTTTGAATTCGGCATTCAGAATACGAAGGCTTGTTGTCGGAGTTGGCATCGGATCTCTCTTCCTTCTGTTAGTATTCTTCTTTTCATCTTTTGTGTGTGTGAATTATATGTGTCCATATATATTTTATAGTCAAGAATTTGTATTTGGTAATTTCTTGAATTCTTGATTTGCTTTATCGTTCGACTAGGCCATATAAGAAAGAGAGAGAAACTGATTTCTTAATGAGTTTTTTATGATTTCTAATCAAACTTTGTATTATTTTGTAATTTCTGAAATGCATATAGAAAATTTATTGATTTGTATTTGATATTTGTTTTATCGAATCACTTTCCGAGTACTTAGGATAAAAAAAATTCAGTCCAACCTGGAAATTTCGAGTCCATAAAAAAAATATTAGGATGAAAAAAAAACAATCATTCAACTTTTAACATATTAGTAACAAAGGTTTAGTAAGATGAATGATGTGTTAAGGAAGAAGAAGACCCGAAAAATAAAATTTATCGGATTTTTTAAAAGTACGGTGGGTAGGGTTGTATTTGAAGTGAATTGACGTTTGTACCCTCACAAAACTCACATACAACGCATGTGCCGGCGGTTCAGGCGAGAAATAAACAGAAATGGTAAAATTAAGGCGCCGTACCACGATTTAACGAGTTCAAATAAAAATTTTGTAAAACAATTTAGTTCAGGGGTAACGTGCAAAAACACAGTTTGGGGGGACAAAGTGCCATTAACCCTTTCAATAAACTCCACTTATCTAACATGTTATATTGTACTACATTGTCTTTGTGATATTTCCATGCATGGTAATAAGACGTTATTTTTAATGACAATAAGTGGTTCGGTTCAATATGAATGTTCTAAGCAGGGTCAGGGTGGCCTAATTAAGGTGCATTCATGCAGATCAACATTTGTATACTTATTGATTAGGGTTGGGCATGGTCTGAGTCGGGTAATTATCGGCTAATTACCTGTCCGACTCGACCAACCGAATTTGTTGAATGTGAAAATCATTACCGATCCGAACATTGTGGATTTGATAGTTGATGATGCTAAATACTTAGATCACCTTGGGTAGTGTAGTAAATACGTTTGGAGGGCAAAGCAGATCACTATAGCTCACAAGTTGGATGGTCCTGAGGTTCCTGCGAAAGTAACACACGTGAACTAAGTCAAGGTTGATTCGGCGGAAACCTCTTCGACGGCTCAAGTCAGACGTACGGATCATAGAGATAGTAGAGAGAATGTGAGCTCTAGAATAGTAGTGAATAATTGAACGTACCTTAATAAATAAGTAGAAACCTATATTTATATGTCGTTGATTGGGTTGGATTTACTTTGTTGGGCCCAAGCCTTATTTGAAAGTGTTTTGGGCCTTCGTGTAATGGTCTTTAAATTGGGTCCATGGCCCGCGAAATAGATGAATTGTGGCCCATTGGATCGGCCCAATTTTGTCTATCCATAGTGGTTGGCAACCGACGTTATCGGATAAAAAATAGGTCGGTTAGTTGGTATTATCGACTATCTCATTTCTGAATATTTTTGGTATTATCGACTATAAAGCATTCGCCCCTATCCAACAGCGAAGAAAGCACATAGCAGGTACTTTTCTTTACTCAACGCTTCAAACTTAGGGCATCTATTATACTGACACCGGCCCGAACCGATTTTTTGGTTCCCAATAAAACTGACTCATGCCCAGTCCTACTATCATTATTTGCCTATTCACAATGTAAATACCTCGTTGCTCTCGTCTTAAAGAGTTAACATGAGCGCATTCTAATAACTGTTTGTGATGCAACTAGTACATGAACTTTGACAAATGACATTGTTCTATACCACATCAACAATATATGATTTAGAATAAGACATACTCAACTTCAAATAATAATTGCCGAATCCTTTGTTTTTTCTTTCTTTCTATTTGGTCCCTTATCCAATTCAGAAAACTAACATGCAAAACAAATTGATAAAATGGTCCCAGGATTAACTTCTATTGATACTTCATAAGGGGCCACCAAAAATTAGCCTAACACACACCAAAATACACCACAAAATAAAAATGCACATGGCAAACATATGAATATGTGAACTCAATTGTACATACCATGGAAAAATTCATGTTGGACTTTAATGTGGCTGCAAAATGTGACCATGTTATTAACTACTCCTTTGAAACTGTTCATTGTTGGACTTTTATTGAGATAATTAGATGTTACACCTGGTTATTTATACTAAGTGAATTTCAACCGTAGATTTACACATAATCACACATATTCATACGTATATACGATTAGTGAATTTTTATTTAATCATTTTTTTGTTCAAATCCATCAAATATAAATAATCAGGTGTAAAATCTAGCCCCCTTTTATTTCTATAGATGTTTGGTCTATGTCAACAAATGTAGCTACATCATGTCTTGATAACAAGTTGGGACAATTTGACAAGAAAATTTAATTTGCCTTGGTCCCTAAACATTTAACATTTTGATAAAGGCAGCGAATATTTGCAAGACGAAAATTACTTAGTGCAAGACCTTACTTCATGCAAGACCAAAATATAAATAAATTTACTAAGATCAAGACTGGAAATTACAAATATAACCCCAATAATAATTTAGATATTATTAATTTAAATTAAGCTAATTGCTATTGCAAGACCAAAAAAAAATACAAAAAAAAAAAGAATAAAAAAAAAGGAAAAAATAGAGGGAACTCACTCTCCCAACAAAACACCAACATCTTCTTCTTCACCCTCATTTTACACATTTTTTTCCACAAAAAAATCTTCCATATTCTCCAAAACCCTTATCACACAAAACCCTCAAATCTTACTAAAACTTAGGATTCTAAGGTCGAAGAACACAAAGAGGTAAGAAATATTGTACTTTGTGATTATTTTTCTCGTTTTTCGCACCTCATTTCACGTACAAAAAAATCGACGTGTACAGGACGAAATATGCGCTTAATATCGACATAGTAGTGTCGAAAATTTCAACATAATTCGACACTCTTTAACTGTCGAATTATATTGAAATTTTCGACATCCTGGTGTCGATATTAAGCGCATATTTCGACACTGGTGTGTCGATTTTTCAATGTTACAATTGTGTAACCAATTTTCCGGTTTTTCTTGCAGAGTTTTGTACCTAGCGCGTGCAGTGTAGCTAATGCATGTAGGGAATTAGCTTTGGATTATTCACATGAATTTACCACCCATGAGGAATTTGCAACAAGGGACAATTTAGTCACATGGGTGCGCGAAGTTGGTATGCGACTAGAGCATGGGATAGCGCTTGTTGATGGAAATCATTTTGTGCATCTTGTTTTGAAGAATAATTGTCCTCTTCCCCCTGTAGCAAATTATTGGAGGCGATACCACCACCCTAGAGCTAGTGCTTGGAAAACTATTGATATGGAGTCTAGGATTATTGCTTTTAAAGAGCTAGTTAATCGTAATTATGTAGCACTACAAGAGACCATATGTATTAATATGTAGAATTGGTGCATTAAATATATATATATATATATATATATATATATATATATATATATATTTTGATGAAATAATTAGTTAACTTGTGCATTATAAAAACATCCAAAAATAAAAACATCATAAATCATCCAAAATCATCCAAAAATAAAAACATCCAAAAAATAATCAAAATCATCCAACTATCTACTTCTTTCTAAGTTTTTTCCTCTGAAATGTTAGTAACGGTGGTGGAGCGGTCGACGATGGTAGATCCGGTGGTGGAGCAGTCGACGACGGCGGTGAAGTAGGAGTATCACCAGCAAACAAATCAGCAATCCCCTTTAATGTCATCACCATCTCGGTATATCCATCATTGGCCGGAGGATCGACCAGAGTAGCTTGAGAATCGCCACGTCGAATTTTACGATTGACCAATGCCTTTCTCTTGCGCTCAGAAGCAGTTTGGGGAATACGCGGTTCCAATGAAAAAATATAAATATAATATTAATCATTTATAAAAAAGAAAAAAAAAAGTTTGCAAAAAAAATAAGTTTACCAGTCAATTTTCGACATCACAATGTCGAAAATTGTACACAAATTCGACACAGCAATGTCGAATATTGCTCCAAAACTCGACACCGGGTTTATGTCGAAATTTTGTACAAATATCGACATTGAGATGTCGAAAAAAGGTCCAATAATCGACAATTGTTTGCTGTCGAAATTTGATGAAAAAATCGACACCAGTATGTCGAAATTTTTCCAAAAAATCGACAAGTGGAGGTCGTTTTTCGTAAAACCGCAACTTCTTCAACAATAGTGCTACAATCGAACCCTAGAATCATCAACTATGTTATAAACTGACTTGAATTCATTATTCTAACAATAAAATCATGTTTATCACATTTATTTCTCAAAAAAAAGTTAATTCAAAAAGTAATTTCCTTACTTGCTTTTCGTGAGATTGTTGTGGCAACAACGGACTTCAACGGCGACGGGGAGGTGATGGACTTCAACGGCGACGGGGCGACGGTTGAGTGCTGCAATTCCCTTCTTCTTCCCTTCTTCCCTCCGCGTTTTTCAATTCTCAATTCAATTTCTTTTTTCTTTCTTTTTTTATTAATTTTTCTTTTTTAAATTGGTCTTGCAAAAGGAAATTAATAAAATAATTTTTATTTTGTTTGTATTTTATTAAGGTTATTATAGTCTTTTTATACTGAATTTAATAAAAAAAATTAATTTGGTCTTGCCCTAAGTAATTTTCGTCTTGCAAATAGTCGCTGCCTTTGATAAATCCACATGTGATTCCTTTTGAGATTGCTATTTTAGGTATTGAGGGGTCACAATATTTTGTTCATATTTGATGAAACATAAAATGGTAAGAAAGTTGGGAGTATTGAAAAACTTCAATGTGTGACCGTGACCGTTGATATCTAGATGTACATGTGCAATAATATATATACATCCATAAATAATACCCCCGTTCCAAAATAATTATCATTTTAGGGTATTGCGCACATGGCACATATTAAGAAAATTAATAAACATGCGTGTAATTTAGGAAAATACATATAATATGACTAAAATACCCATGTAATTAATTATATCTCAATTCATTAAGAGTAATAACTAATAAGGGCATAATTGAGAAAACAGTAATTAATGCATCATTGGAATTTTAAAGTGACAGATATTATGGAACAAGAAAAACTCCCCAAAGCGACAATTAATTTGGAACGGAGGAACTAACAATATTAACAATACATTTATTTGAAAATATCTATTTTAAAAAGTATGCACAAATTAATAGGTTTTCCAACTTCTCAAAAATGAAAAAACAATTATCATGTTTTCGAGTTCAAATGTATCTTCTGAGTTCGAAATCTATTTTTATTTGACACAAGGATAATATATTTGTTTATTGGTTTCGATTAAAGTTACTTATATTAACAACCAATTTTATTAGTTATTATAAGGGCTGAAGATATAGCCTTATGTGACAAAATTTATCTTATATATAAAAAGAAGATATTTTGACCTATAACCCTAAACCTAAATTTAAGGGTAATTTTGTCAATAAATAAATATCTATTTAAAATTTAAAATTTCTTTTTTTTTTTTCGGTTGCATAGTTTTAAAATTGTTGAAATTAATATTTTTCCTATTCTTTTGGGGTAGTGCTGTAATTCTAACTCCAGTTAATTCTTATATTCAAGCTATCATCACTATTTTTTGTTCCACTACAACTTTTTTTTTTTCTTTTCTTTTTTTTTTTTCATTTTTTTAGTATTTTTATTCTTTCTTTGTTAATTTGGAAATTCATATTTTTGGCAGGTTTCTTGGGTATTTTCTCTCTGCGTATGAAAAGAAACCGCACACGCATGAAAAACTGAATACACGATTGATCTTCTCTTAACTGCAACGCAATATTTGTAACCTCTCTCTCAGATAACTTCTCTTTTTATGTTACTTCATTATGTTCGCAACTGCTCTTCCGGCAAAAGAATTAACTGATAAAAAAAAGGATGAAATGATATACCATTGGATTCCCCTATCTTACTCTATGTAAACTCATAATTTTATTTTTACGATAGAATATGTACATAGCATCAATCCTATACAACAGCTCATGTATGCAACACCGGAAGTGTATTCTTCTTTGTTTCTCTTCTGCAATCCGTGGGGAAACGGTTTGAGCATTTTTCAGAGGATTTTGTTTTTTTTACATCATTTGTTTGGATTGAAAGTTTTATTCATCGTAAATTATGTAGTAGATGTTTCAATATTCTGTTCGTGCGTGTTTGTTTAATTTCACCATTTTTTGGTTTCAATGTTTTCTTTGTTTTGTAATGGTTCTGTGAATAATTTCTCTATTACATGCAAGGCTTCGTGTTTTTTTTCTTCTTTTGATGTCTGTGTTCTATGTGCGGCTGCATGTGGATAGACTGAGTATATATCTATATATGACTATAGTTTAATTTTGATTTTATTATTTGCTATGTCGTTTTCACTCAAATTGGTGTCTTTAACGATATGAAATAACATATAAGGTGTGTATTCAATCTTCATTGGTTTTGTTATTGTCGATAGCTGATATATTTCAGGGGTACATTTAAAAAAAAAAATTGGGTTATATTTAGGCGTAAATCAGTACAAGTTTTCTATTTTTTCAACATCCCTCTGTTTCTCGCTCTTTCTTTCCCTGTTGGTCTTTGTCTCAATTTGTAAAGTTTATGGAGATTTCTCCCTTCCTCCAAATATTTTCGTCTGATGCACGATGGCATATAGTACTACAATATATAGTTAATTTTATGTGGTTACCGTTATGTGTTGTTCTGTAAGATATGTAATCTAACATTAACTTTTTGTTTAACATTTCTAAAGTTGATTATGTGTTTAATTTTATCTTCCATTTTATTTTCAGCATACAATATTTTTTTGAAGGATTTTAATTTCTTACTGTATTTGTGTAAACAACAAAATATAATAAAAATGTATCTAGATATTAGCTAACCATTTCAAAATTGTATTGTAATATTTATTCTTTTATCTATTGTGTTTGTTTTTATGATTATATTTTAATGAGGGTAAATTGTTTTCTGACATTTGCATTAGTCTTATATGAGTTAGAAGTTTAGTTAAAAACTTAATTAATAAGTCTCTAACGCTGTGTTTGGACACCAATGAAATGATTGGATATGATCATACGAAGAGGTTGCTGACTTTGGGTTGATTAACAAGTATTATTCAGATTACTCATTTGGTAAGTTATTAATCTAATGCAATCTGCAAATGTTGATATAGGCTGACAATTTATCATACACCCCTCACCCCCCTTCATTTGTAATCATCAGGATTTTAAATGTCATTTTTAGTTATGCTTAGATTGATAGATTTGTATGGGATCGATGATGAGAAGCGCGGTGCATACTTCAGTGGTTAGTTGAAAATATTTGGCTTAATGGTAAAAAAAGTTTTATTTTCAAATTAATTCAAAAGAGAATAAATTTAAAAAAAATGTTTGTCACAAAGAAGATATCTCTATTTATAAATAGTATAATACTATTTTTCTTAATATGTTCTCCTATAATTTGTGATTGTACTTATTCATCTTCGCTAATCCTTTTTTTTCTCTTTACTTTTTGAATTCATTCCAAATATTTTTGTTTGTTACTTAGAGGGTGTTCGGCTAAGCTTATAAGATGTTAAAAATACCTCATAAGATGTTAAAAGAGCTTATAAGACGTTTAAGAGCTTATAAGCTCTTCGAAAGTGTTTGGTGATTTTTTTAAGAAAGATCTTAAGTTTTTTTAATAAACTGTTGAAAAGCAAATAAGATCTTTTCTTTCTCTCTATATGCTAGGTCGAGAAACATTTTTAATTCATAGATGATACAACATGTTAGGCTATGTGTTTGTGATATACGTTACAACATGCAAAAAAAGTATCATATTATTCTTTCAATACTACCGTAAGCTTCCTTCTCATTTTTATTCCTCAATTTAATGCATCGACTTAGTCTTTCCGGATGGAGATTTGTTTTCTGCTGAGTAGCGCAAACGACGGATGAGATCAACAACCAGACTGAAAGTATTACACTAATTCGAGAGGCACTATCAGCACCAAGTTGATCACAAGGTGATTTTCATTAAGCATGCCTTTTTTATTTTCTTCCTCATGATACTAAATCACGTTTATCCTAAAATCCAAATATTCCATGGTCGAAAGATCTTATGTGAACTTTAATCGGAAGCCATATTGAAATCCTAAAATGTTGACATTTTTTTTTGTTTTGTGCATGTGTGGTAGGTACAATATTAAAGTATTACCTATGTGGCCTTTTTATGTTTGAATTTGAAGATTCCGGATCCAAATAAGTGATATAGCATTATAATAGATGCTATTTCAATGTGCACTTAAAATGATGGAGAAGGGGAAGAAGAAGAAGCAGCAGCAGAAGGAGGAGGAGAAGGAGGAGAAGGAGAAAAATAAGAAGGAGAAGGAGAAGGGCAAGGAGAAGGAGTAGAAGGAGGAGGAGAAGAAGGATGAGAAGGAGGAGGAGAAGGAGAATGATAAGGATAAGGAGTAGAAGGAGTAGAAGAAGGAGTAGAAAAAGAATGAGAAGAAGGAGGAGAAGAATGAAAAGAAGGAAAAGAATAAGCAAAAGAAGGAGAAACAGAAGAAAGAGACGCAAAAGCAGGAGAAGAAAGAGAAGAAGGAGACGTAGAAGAAGGAGAAAAAGAAAAATGAGAAGGAGGAGAATGAGAAGAAGAATGGAAAGAAGAAGGAGGAGAAGGAGGAGAAGGAGAAGAAGAAAGGAGAGAAGAAAGAGGAGAAGGAGAAGAAGAAGGGAGAGAAGAAAGAGGAGAAGGAGAAGAAGAGAGAGAAGGGGAAGAAGGAGGA